AAAAAATACAGGGTGTTGCATTTGAAATAACAAAGGTTTTATGTAAAATAAACATATTTACCAGCAATTTCTGATACCCCTGAATATATATAAACGAGGCAATCACATTTTTCAGTAAAGTTTATTTCTCTGGCTTAAAAGTCAGCACAGGTACTAATTCTGAAAAGTAATGTATAGAGTGCTGACAATCTTTTTTTATTATAGTATGCTTATTTAAATATCTTTAAATATCTCAGCCAAAGGTCTAGCTACGTCGAAACACCGGTTCCCATTAGAACACCGAAGTTAAGCGACGTAAAGCGATGCTAATGGAGGGACGGGTGACCGGTTCGAAACTCTGTATCGTGCTCTTGTCCAATAAAGGCAAAAGTGATTATATCTCGATATCTCGTGTGTAACAGTTGACTTAGACACTTGCCAAGTCGGTAGGCCATTGACCATGATATGGCCGAGGACCGCGGTTCGGATTCCGCGTTAACAAAATAAGCCCCGTCCAGATTAGCCCTGGCAGCAAAAAGGAGACGTTAACTAAAATCTTTACTTTTTTAAAATATCTCAAAAACCAAAGCCTCTAAACATATTTAACCCTTATAATCAATGCCTTATTTTGCGTCCAAATATCCAAAAATGAAATAAAATACCGGGTGTTCCATAAGAAAAAATATTTGGTGGACTTTGGTGGGAATCTTAGTTCTAACATACCCTTTACATTTCAAAATAATTTGGAATTATGTACATTGCCTTCCCACATATACCCATAAAATATTTTGTTTCTACATCTTTCCGTTTTGGTATTATAATCAGCCGAGGCGAATGAGGTACGCCACCCTCCTATATATCCCAAAATAATATTATTAAGAAATATGTGTGAGATCTCCTGTATAGTAAGAAAACTTTTAAAGAGATTAAAAATAAAATTAACCTCATTATCAGATTTAGGAGCAATATACTCTAATATGCTAATAAAAACAGTTAAGCAACTTAACACCAAACTTCTCGAGAAAAACAAATATATTCGTTAGTGGAAACAATTCTCTTAAATCCGAAAGAGCTTAATCAAATGTAACTTATTCAATTAGAGGGCAACTTCTAAAAGAGTAATTAGATGGAGGGAACGAAGTACTTTGTGTCGGTTAAACGTGGGGTTAGGTAGATTGGTTGTAATTTAGTTCGGATGGCCTTTTTGCCGGTTTTGTTCTTGCTAATTTTGTTCTACGGCTTTAAATTTCGTTAAACAGTCGTTAGTTCTGCCATATTCCCGTTTAATTTGTTAATTTCATCTAAACGTGGTTATTTACCTTACTAGGCATGATAATGATTAGAATGATTATTTTCTTTGTTTCGTTAATAAATAGAAATAATTCTCTTAAATCCAAAAAACGGCAGAACAATTGCCACTACTTTTTAAAAATTAAGAAAATAATATCATAAAAATTGAAAAACCAATATATTATGTGATTTCCATATAAGAATATATGTTTAATTAATACGTAGAACGATATAACAGAAAATAAAGATATCAATAATAAAATCAGTTAAAAAAGTTATTCTGAAAAAAAAAATTAGAAAATTTTACCACCTTGTATCTCAGAAATTAAGATATTTAGGACATACATTCATATGAAGTTTTTCTTTTAGAATAGTACCAAGAATTGCCCCCTTCAATATTAGCATGTCATTAAGGAACACTCTGTATAATATTATTGCTTATATTTGTATACATTATACAAATATAAGAAGATTTATAATTTGATACAATTTTAACAAATATTTGTGACTTAAATCGTCTGACGTTGTTTTTAAAAACTTTCAGTAAAGTTGTTTATTCACAAAATCAAATCAGCCATCTAATTTCACCAGTTGTTTGTCCGTTTCTTTCAAAAACAACACTATTTACTCTTCGAAATTTCATAAAATTTATGCAAGCATTTGTATAGGTAGTAAACATGGATTTAGTTTACTATATTCAAATGCAGTTAATTAATAAAGTTTGTTATTCAAAATAGACTTTGTTATTGAAAAATTGTTTTCTTGCGTGACAATAATGAAAAGGTTAATCATAACTTCTTAAGTTATGAATAGTTTTTTAATAAATTTGATTTTTTAATAAATATACAAGTTGTAAGCCCAACTGACAAAGAAGTACGACAATATACTTAAAGCTGTTTACGGCAACACTAGAAGAAATATTCCTTCACCTCGACTGGACCAACAAAGACTTCGTTGATGACATAGTCCTAATTGCCAATTGTCCTGAAGAATTACAAGCACAAACTAACGTACCAAATACAACCAGCAATAAAGTAGGTCTTAAAATGAATTTAGGAAAAACTAAAGTAATTTAGTAACGAACTAGTAAACAGAAAAGACATCCTAATAAATAACTCAACACTAAAGATAGTAGACGAATATATAGGGTGAGTGTTAAATAAGTGCAAATATTTTCAGGGCTGGTAGATCTCGATAAAAGAAACATATTTTCTCTTTATAGTTTTTCAAATAAGTTCAAAATAACCGAGATACATTGAAAATTTCTAAAAAAAGAATATTTTTTCCTAAAATTTTGAGAGTCATTCGATCTTCTCTGGGTTTTCTTTCTTGTAAATTTAATCTACTTCCTATATTGCAATATTATTAAAAAATTATGTTTTTAAGTAAAAATTAAAAAACATTTCCAAAAAATTTTTAAAAAAATTCTGAATTTTCAATTTTTTTTTTCGTGAATAAAACCTCATAATCGTGTTTCTGGTCGAAATATATTACCCCTAAAATATTTGTCCTTATTTAAGACTCACCCTGTATATATGGCAAAAACTAATACACAGCTCGGGATCCCTACTACGAGAAATCAACAGAAGAATTAAGTTAGCATGGAGTACTCATGGAAGAAACTCACTGATATTCAAATTTAAAATGCCAAGTTATCTAAAGAAGTATTCGACTAATGTGTACTACCATTTATGACCTATGCATGCGAAACCTGGACACTTGAAACGGACATTATAAGGAAACTGTAGGTCGCACAGTACCCAAAGGAACAAAATATGCTTGTTCTAACAAGGAAAATCTTTCAAAAGGAAAGCTTAGAAATGCTTTAATAGTCAAAATATAAAGCCAAAATGTAAAAAATAGCCAAAACTAAACATAGTTCTAGAAAAAAAAATAGTATGTTTTTATTTATTTTGACTGGGCTCCATAAGTTTTAACCAGGGCAAAGTTTCAGTGATAAATCTGCAGCCGGTTTCGCTGCCAACCGGAAGCGATAAAACCTTTCGGGTGTATTTCTTCTTTATAGAGGCCAAAATGTTAACGTTTATTCTGGCCGAATTTTTATTATCGCGCAATAATCGTAATCGGTTTAGAATAAAATTTAATATTTTCTACCTTCGTAACGTTCATAAATGTCGGAATATACAATGTGTAACAGCTGTTTGCACACGTCGCGCGTCGATTGGAGTACTTTGTTGTGCATTTTTGAAATGAAACTTAACGCACGCTGGTAAGGGTCGGATAATCGCGCAAATCCCCAAAAACATTTGATTTAAAGAAAATCATTATAATAAACTTTATACTGTACCTGTGTACCAATATCCTCTGGTCGTGTGCTAGGAAATAAATTTTCATGGATATTTTCATCGATAGGTTTGTAGCTTCTGAATAACGGTCTAGATAACGCATCTAGCTCATTTGCTAGCTCAGAATTAGAATTATTAGAGCTAAGCAACTCGCATTTTCATTGGAGGACACTGTCATTTATTTCAAACCAATAATCCATGAAAATATTCATATAATTTAATAAAATTGCTAGAAATCACTATAAATAATGAATAATGAACAAAATAGTAATAACAAACCACATACTACATAGTAGATATGGTATAATGGTAGTATTCTCTAGTATTTTGGTATAATGGCCACGGTTGTCAGGGCTATTCGGTCGGATACTACCGTATAATAGAGAAAAAAAAAACAGCATCCAGTTGGCTTAGAAATGCACATCGATGACATCCCCCATATAATTTTACGTATTAAATGAACTATTTACGGTTGAGGGCTTATGTGATGACAGACAAAGATCGCCATAGAAGCGAGACTGGGAAATCTCATACCACGACTTTGGAACAAAATATTACCAAAAGAAGATCCTCTGAAAAATATCAAATTTAATAACCATTTTATAAAAGGTAATAAGTGATATAGTCTATCTACTAAAGCAGGAAATTTATTGCATTCAATAATAATATGGTTTTAGGGTTTAACGTTTCACGTTAGAAGTTTCACTTCATATATGCGTACATAGTGCACACACTGTTTTTTTTACAAAATCTCAATAGCCCCCCATACATCAGAAGTGGAATCGGCCTTTAGAACCGGCTTGCGGATTTGATCTGTCACATACCAAAACTCTCGTATTTTGATCTGCGGATTTGGCTTACCGATCAGATATTTGGCCCATTAAATACTCTCGTTTGGGACAACATTATACGTTTTATAACAATTTTTGCTTATTTCTGCCGACTTTATCCTTTGTTCGTTTTTTAGACAAATTTAATCTCACAGGTCAAATCCGCAGATTGGCCTATGACACGCTTGGCCTGCCACTGTCTCGCCCACAAATGCAAAGATTTCATCAGCAAGCCAAGTCCGCAGGCGCAATCTTCTGGTGTATGGGAGGCTATTTATATAGGATCGCTTGGTATATATTGTATTAAAAAACCCCGCTATTTCAACTGTTTTAAGAGGAACAAATAATAGAACATATCAATTTCTAACCAAACTTTAATTGTAACAACTTTACAAAACAGTAATACCGTAAAATGTTTGCTTCCCCTACTAATCATACAGGGTCGCTTTTATGTATGGAAACGGTCGATTATTAGGTAAAATATAGGAGGTACCCCAGAAAGTTAAATACAAAAGTTATAGAATTTTTAAATATCTATTAGCGAGTAATAAACTTAAGTATACAGGGTCGATCATAAAGTCGCGGCACATAAAACTTTTATTTTTTTAAATGGAACCCCCTGTATATTATTGCATATTTCGGTTCTTCCTTCAGTTCTAAGCAAAAATTGAAATACACAATGTACCTCAAACCAACCGTTTCCGAGTTATCGACTTTTAAAAATACCACTTTTTTCACAGTTTTGGCGGAAAGGCATGAATGAAACTGAACATGAACATATCGAAATTAATTAAATCAAAAATGGTTTAAGTGATATTTGTTCAAGAGTCAATAACTCGGAAACGGTTGGTTTGAGGTACATTGTGTGTATTTCGATTTTTGCTTAGAATTGAAGGAAGAATTGAAATATGCAATAATATACAGGGGGTTCTATTTAAAAAAAAATGAAACTTTGATTTGCCACGGCTTTATGACAGACCCCGTATACATAAATTTATTACTCGCCAATAGACATTTAAAAATCTTTTTTAAAAAAAATTTTGTATTTAACTTTTTGCGGTATCTTTTGTATTTTAACTAATAATCCACCGTTTCCATACATAACAGCGACTTTGTATTTTAAATCTAATGAAATACTACTTATTTTATATATTTCCGGTCTTTGTTTCTGAAACAATGTAGAAAAATATTATAAATATTATTTCTTTTAAAGGCTGTAATTCTAATTTACTAATTGTAAATATTCTTGAACAATTTTTTTTTTTATTTTTTTACATACAGTTGATTAAACTATATTTTTTCTTTTATAACAAAAATAAATAACATACCACCTTACTCCTAACAATAACTTAAATTCCAACAAGTTGTCAATACAACAAACCCTTAAAATCAAAACCCTAATATCCGTAAACCTCAATCATAATTCTAGGATCGTAGTTCGGCGGCACTCTCAGTATAACCTGAGCTTCGTTTCCCGCCACGTCAATTCGAAGAGTGTAGGCCCTCTGGCGGCCGAAATTCAACACGCGCACTGTGGTGATCCTGCGGGCATCGGTCACCGCATACCATTGCACCTCCTGCTCGTCGGAACTTAGTTGGGGTAACACGATCACCTCCCTGATTTGCAGGATGTCCTGCGATTCTCGGTATCTGAAACAGAAAGATCGGTAACTGAATGTAACGTATTTGGAGAATGCCTGAACTAAAAAATATCGAACTGGATTGGATGGATTGATGGGGTTGAGAAGGAATGTTAGTGTGCTTTAAATGGCAAGGGAGTAAAATGGAGATATGTCACTGCAGAAAATACTAAACACTGATTTAATGTAATGATGTATAGAAATGATTTTAAATATAAATAAATAAATAAATGCCTTTATTGTCAAAATTTTTTACAATTTGTAGACAAAGATAAAGTAAACAAACAAACTAACAAAAGAGAAAAGAGAATACAAAACGTTATACAAATAACATTGTCAGTCTTATTGTTAAAATAAACATTTATAAATGTTTACAATGTCAAAGAATAAAAAAAAAAGATTCAAAAATATTTAGTAAGTTTATAGGTACTAAGTATCAATGAGCTCTAGATAAATCCATTTCGATGTCACTGGTAAATATAGTAATAGCAAACATTAGACCAGTGTTTACAAGATCAAATTCGATTATCAAAATATAAGTCATTTACGGTGTAGAAAGCCTTGTCTAGTAAATGAGATTTCAATGCTTTGCGAAATCAAGAAAATGATGTTATGGATTTGATTTCAAATGGCAGGTGGTTGTGCATTTTTTTCGAGTTGTATAATATTGAACTTTTAACTAACACTGAGCGTGGGTTAGGTAGATAAAGATCTTGCTCCGCGTTTCTGAGTGGATAAGTGTGAGATGGTCTTTCTTGAGAAGCTGATACATGTTTACGTATTAGGCAAACGGATTCAAATATAAAAAAGGAAGGAAGAGTCAATATTTTTAATTCTTTAAAAAAGTATCGGCAATGAGTTCTGTTGTTTAGTCCCAGTGAATATCGAACATCTCTCTTCTGGAGCTTGAAAATGCGGTCAAATTGAGTCGCACAACACGTACCCCAGAATGGAAGGGCATACCTGAGGTGCGACTCAAAAAGTGCATAATAAACAGTTCTAGCCACTGACAAGTTAAGCTCCTTAGAAACAGATCTTAATGCAAAACAGGCAGAGCTCAATTTTTTCGACAAAGCTTCGATATGTAGTCCCATTTCAGAGAATTGTCCACAACAAGCCCTAAGAATTTTACAGATTTTACGACGTGAATTGTGGTGTTGTTAGGTACAAAAAATAGTACTGAATCGGTTGTTGGTTTGCTTTTAGATGTTTCAAGTTTATTGGGGGTAATTTTATCTCTACATTTGTTTGGGATTGTTAGACCAACCCATCTACAATTCGAGTTTCAGCTCTCTAACTCTACTAAAATTTTAAGTAGAATTCGTAGTTTTCGAGATATTCCGCCTCTAAGATCCCTCAATTTTCTCCCTAAGTCGTAACGCTCTGAAGAAGCCTATCACTGATTGATAGGAAAAATTGTTTAATAACTGGGCTAAAATTTAATAATTTTTCATGATTCAAAATTCATTTTAAAGGTAGAATCAACAGCTCGTATTATTTATTTTGGAACTTGTTTGAATTTTGTCATATTTTATAATGATAAAAAACAAATTTATTCATATTTTTCTAATAAAAGCTTACTTGTCAAGATTTTTTTTAACAGTTGTTCTTAGAGTCTCTTTAGCAACTCAGACAATTTGAAGAATTTGTTTAATTATATTTTAATAGAAAAACAACTATTCGTGAGTGGCTTTTCTGCTTTTTTTGGGATTTCCCAAAAGTGTCGAAAAAAAGAAAATTGCATAATTATGAATAGTCGAATTGGTTTTTTTTACGACGAAAAAAAGTCTCTGGGTCATATTTTTAGCTAAGAACCCAATCTTTCATTTAGCGATCATGAAAATCAGCTACATGCCATACTTCGGCCGATGTTAGTGCAAAATCCCTTCTTGACCCTTTAGGGCCGTTTTTAACTGTTTTCCTGTGACTTTACGAAAAAAAGTATCAGAACCTTTTTTGTAGATAATGACCTAAGCTTCATTACAAGAAAAAAAAATTGAACTGCATATTTGGGTAGATATTTGCGAAAACCTGATTTTTCGGCCAATCACTGCCCTGCACTGTGTTGTGAATAATAAAAATAATTTTTCTCCTAAAACTATTCCCCAAAGGGTGCGCTATGATCCTAAAAGTCATGCTCGACGAATTAAGCCGAGGTTTGTGTTTTTTCGTGTCCTTATAGTACAAGAGCTAGCAAGGTCGGAAAAACAAGTATTTTAAGACGTCTGGCTCTTTGATATATCTTTTACTATGCTCTCTGAAACAGCATGCGGCCCGTCTGGCTGCCGGTAAACGTTGCGTTCCCTACTGCGCATTGAAAGAAGATCCTATATTTTTATTAATTCTTTAAATTCTAGTATTGAATGTAAACCGACCGAGTCTCCATAGCTCAGTGCGTAGAGGTTTCGCCTATCAAGCGAGGAGTCAGAGTTCGAATCTGGGACAGGGCAAAAACTTTTTTATTTTATTTTCGTTTATATTCTGATAGTAAAGTATTAAATATTTTTTTGGAATCACAAGAATTATTTAATACTTTACTATCAGAATATAAACGAAAATAAAATAAAAAAGTCTTTGTCCTGACCCGGATTCTAACTCTGAATCCTCGGTTCGTAGTCGGAACTTCTACGCACTGTGCTATGGAGACATGTTCGATTTATATTCAATACTAGAATTTATAGGAATAAATTAAAAAAAATAAAGGATCTTCTTCCGATGCGCAGTAGTGAACGCGACGGGCATCGGCAGCCAGACGGGCCGCATACTGTTCCAGAGAGCATAATAAAAGATATATCAAAGAGCCAGACGTCTTAAAATACTTTCTCAAAAACGTTGCTAGCTCTTAGACTATTATTTATTGGACTACACAGATTTTATGACCTGTAATCAAACAAATAATAAATAAAGATAAAAAATACCAACATTACACTAATATTTTTCCTTCTCGGAGAGCACAAAATTAATCCCATTTCTATACAACTTAACATAAATACCTCTATAACAAACTAATTAATCATAAATCTTAAATCCATCCCGCTTAAAATACCATCCCGCTTAAAATTCGACTAACCCTTTTTTAAGATGCGCTTTATCATCCGCCACCTCCCCTCTAAAGGAAATTTAAATTTTCGACAGCCGTATTTATTCAGGCTTTCATTCTAAGAACGAAACGTAATTAATGAATAATATGACGGAAGAGGGTGTTGGAAATTGGGTTATTTGCAAACCCGGCAACCATGTCCTCGCCCGTCCTGAAAAAAGAAAGAAAATATTTGTTCAGATTTCGGTAAATACTCCTTTCTGTTTTTCCCCCGATATTTGCATGTTTGGGTTTTGTATTATTTAAGCTCAATTTCGTTTATTTTTATTTGTCCTAACAATATTAGATTGTATTATTTAACAGATGAAAACATATATCTTATTAATCATACAGACATGAGGAAGTGTTTCCTGTATACAGGGTGGCCCGAACTATATTCCGGAAACTTCGACAGCATATTTTGCAGATAAAAATAAGTAAAAAAGTTCCTGTAAATATATGCTTAGTTTCGGAGATACAGGGTGTAGATTTTCATTTTTATTTCGATTTTTTCCAAATAATTTCTGAAGTAACCTCAATATTTGGATGAAAATTTGTGTCTGGGAGTTTTTTGACATGAGAAATTTGATTTTGATGTTAATATGACTCTACTAGTAGAGGGCGCCACCTACATATTTTTTAACTGGTTTGAAAATAATAACTTTTCGTCCGTACCTGTATAAAACTACTGAGTAAAACAATATACATTTACGACGTTTTTTACGTGAAAAATATCTCTTGGTAAAAATCGCTACGAGTAATGGTTTTTGACATATTTAAAATCGAAATTATCAATACCTGTCATCAATGACATAAATTAAACATGTTGACTAAATAGTTATTATACTGAAATCATAAATTTGAAATGTTTTTGTGCCAAAAGTTCAACAGAAACTATTTTATCATAATTTTTTGCAGGAAAATTTATGATTAATTTAAAAAAATAAAAATTTTCCAAATTTATTATTTCAGTAAAATAACTACCATATGATCGAAAAAAAAATGGCGTTCAGTTGGCTTGGAAATGACGATCGATGACATTTCCCATATAATTTTACATACAAAATGACAGCGATCTTCAGATCTTCATTTCATAGCCATCGCTGACGCCGTTTTTATTCGATCATACGGTATATCTACTCAACGTGTTTATTTTTCGTCAATAATGACATGTATTGATGATTTCCATTCTAAATATCTTAAGAACGGTTGCTCGTAGCGATTTTTACAGAGATGTTTTTCACGTAAAAAGTCACAGAGATGTATATTTTTTCAATCGGTAGTTTTATACAGATACGGTCAAAAAGTTATTAGACTTCAAAACAGTTAAAACACATGTAGGTGGCGCCCCCTACAAATAGGAGTCATATTGACATTAAAATCAAATTTCTCATGTCAAAAAACTCCCAGACACCAATTTTCATCCAAATATTGACGTTACTTCAGAAATTATTTGGAAAAAATCGAAATAAAAATGAAACTACATTATTACATTCTGTATCTTCGAAACTAAGTATTTTAGGACATACATTTATACCAACTTTTTTACTTACTTTTCTCTGCAGAATATGTTGCCGAAGTTTTCGGAATAAAGTTCGGAACACCCTGTATATCAAACAAAGTTGCAAATTTTGGTAAAATTAATTTTAAAGAAGACTATTATATAGTCTTTCTGTTAAATATTTTTAAAATTCTTGGAATTTAGAATTTTGAGAGGGCTTTAAGTAAGCAGTAAATTTAGTTTTAAAAAACGATTATGTTTCAAAAATATCTAGATATTATATAGCATCAAGGTATTTTTTAGAATTGGCAAATTTATTGGCAAATCTAACAAGTTAAAAAAGTATATAGCATTCCATTTAAAAATATATAAATTTGGTTTGAATAACTCTGTATGTTAACAAAATGTATTTAAAATGTTGTGCGTTGCC